GGGAGCATGGGGAAAATACAGATGAAGGAAAATCTGGTTCTGGGAAAGATTTAGTTGACCACGTTGATAATCAAGCTATGGAGTCGCAATCTGACGCCCGCAGCAGAAGCTGTGAAGATCTAACTGAGCCAGGTTCTGGAGTTCTGTCCAAAGATATGCAAGATGTAAAGAAAGACATTGTGAATAAGGAAATATACGAACTACAGAAAAGAATCGAAAATCAACAGAAAAGAATCTCAGAGCTGGAAGAAAAAGTAAATGAAGTAATTGAAAAGCAACAGAAAAGAATCTCAGAGCTGGAAAAAAAAGTAAAGAAAGCTGAACAGTACCAAAGAAAATGGAATCTATGGCTTTATGGTCTACCAGAACAAGAAAGAGAGAATGTCAAAAAGCGTGTGATTGATATCTGCAGCGCTGTGGTACCGGAGGCTGCAGATAACTTTCCTCATCATATTGACATTGTTCATCGCGTCGGGAAGAGAAGCGAAGACAAAGATCGACCCGTCATCATCAAGTTTACAGCGAGATCAACCAAGGAGCTTCTGTGGAAAACTGCTAAGAGCTCTGAAGATCTTCGTTCCAGTAATTTACGGTTCGGGGAGGGCCTAACAGCGAAAGACAAAGACACGCGCAACAGGCTTTGGCCTCTAATTGAAGCTGCACGCAAAGAAGGGAAAAGGGCATTTTTTGCTGGTGCCAAAGTTATAATCAACGGCAAAGAAATCAGTGAATAGACTCTAATTGATGCTGATGCCAATGTCTCAAGTCTATTGAGATAAAAAGAGATGAAAGCATATCCTTTCAAATCAAAGGTAAAATGTAATAATAAGTGGATCAATAACTTACCCTAGTACACATTATGTTGATTTGTGTATGCTGGACAGTATTTTATTTTTTCTTTTACGTCCAGTTGAAGAATGTTATGTAATGTCATGTTATATTATGACACTTCTTTATACAGGTTAATACCGTAAATGTTATTCTTGGGTAGGTGAAAAGCACTTGGTTTAAGTAGTTTTTTTAAAGAGAATATCTTAATTCGTTCAATGTGAAGGGTATTCGCGACTTGTTGAGGACAAATGAAGTTTATGTTTTTTTGTTTTTCTTAAAAGATTTTTAGGCTGATTTTAATTTTTTTGCAGGAAACTCATGCAGTAATGTCTGATTTTGCTTTTTGGGAATCAATGGGGTAGTGATAAATGATTGGCATATGTGAGTAATAATTCAGCAGAGATTGCATTTTTAAAAGGAAACTATAAGTATATCTCGCTCTTCTGGAAGTGGTTGATTTTGGATGTAAAAGAAGAAAATAATGTTTTAATTTTGGGGACCATTTATGGTGACAATCATAATTTACAAAACAGGTTGTTATTACAAAATGTTTAAGTGTGTGTATTTTTAAAAATACACTCTAGTGCCCGGTTGATTTTGATGACCCTTAGACCATTATTTTCAACTACTGGAAATTAAACAATTAACTTCTTGATGATATTCAATTTAAGGGTTAAACTTATAAAGAGAAAATATCAGATTTATATGGAACAAATTGGGAAATTATGAAATATTAAATGAGAAAATGTGCAATTATAAGAAGAAAATGGCCAAAGAGAAGAGATATAGAAACAATGCTTTAATTAGAAATATAATATTTATGATAGAAAAGCAGTAAGTGAACAAGAAAAACATATGTTAAACTGCAATTGAAATTAGAACAAATATATGAATATAAATCTAAGGAAGCATTTATAAGATCAAGAAGAAGGTGGTTAGAGATGGGTGAAATGACTTCTAAGTATTTGGAGATTTTTCCTCGTTAAAGAAATGTAATATTAATGATTCTTTTACAATGGACCCACACTTAATACCTGAAAAGTTTTTTTTATGTTTTCAAGGAAATATTAGAAAATGAAGTAATGTTGCCATCTATGTTACAGGGACTGATTAAACTAATTCCTATGCAGGTAAAGATTTACTATATAGAGAGAATTAACCAACATTTATTTATTTTATTATCCATTTATCATATAATCATTTATATTAATCATTTAAGCCATTTATATACTCGTTTCATTGATTTATTAATTGATTAGTCATTTATATAGTTTTTTTTTATATATTATTTTTCCATTGTTGTTTAGTCTTATGATTGTGTGTTTCAAGGGCTGTTTGTCTTCATGAATAAAAGATAAGAGGGAATGTTTATGGAAACTCAAGGTTTGTATGTTTTAAAAAACAAGTGTGGTCTTTTACTTAATAAACCACTTTTTAATAAAACAATTAAAACAGCAAATTTTTCTGGTTACAATACAAAAAAAGTCATATAGACAGAAAAAGTATACATGTAGTAGGACGACTGCATGTTCTCCTCAATGTAACGGGGCGAACGATACGTGAGACATGCAGATCCATTTGCAGGCTTTTATTAAACAGAGACGTGGTCATAAGAGGCATGGGGCAAACAGGTACATTTAAAGTGAAGTGAAAAAAATATATAATAATTTAGGCAAGACAAAAAGTATTCCTAGGGCAAGCGTGGGTCTACGATCGGCGAACAATATCCAGAGGGCTTGACATGAGGGGTTATCCAATAACACAAGCAAAAGTCCAGGCAAGGTGCAAACACAGTCCGAAACAGCAGGCGAAGGGTTAATCCAAAATACACAGGCAGAACCAGAATGTGGGAAAACAGGCAAAGCACGACTATGAAAACTCAAAAGAGTAGAGTAGCTATCGCTAGGCGAGCGATAGACACTATACAACACTGCGATTTAAGCAGAATCTGGGTGGATGTTATATAGTGTGGGTAATAGCTTTCAGGTGAGCGTGTGATTGGTTACAGCTGTGTGCAATCAGTGCAATGGATGATGGGAAATGTAGTCCGGGGTATAGTGTAACAGTCTGTGTAGTGTGAGAGTCCATGTAGTGAGCGGATGACCTCTGGTGGTGAGTGAACGGAAGTTCATAGAACGGATTCGTGACACTCAACAGGAGTATAGAGTAATAACTCTAGCTGTTGTTTGTTCATCTTTGCTTTAGAGCTAGTGTTATCACTCTTCTATAGGCCAACACTAAAAGATTTTCTAAATAGCAACAGATAGCTTGCCCCTAATGCATCACGTCACAGGTGAGCTGCCAGGTGACTAGGCACCAGCTAAGGAATTTCAAGGAGGATTGTTTAATAAAATAAATAAAAAAATATGTATTTGTCATCTGACTAATCTGAAAGATTTGTGAGGAACCGCATCACTGTAGGGCTTCTTTCTGTATTATCAACATTAAAAATGCACAAATCTAACACATTTCATTAACAAATCAATAGACGAGACAAATTAACACAACGACTAAATAAATACCGTGAATGGACGAAGAAATAAAGTGCATAAGATGCAAGTGATTAACCTGGATGCTGCTTTGGTAGTTTTTTTTTCTTTCTTTTATCAAAAGATAAACTATTGATTTGAAACTAATAAGGTGAACTTTATTCCACTCAAAAAACAAAAAAAATAATTTTATATTAACTGGCATCAGCTTTGCAACATTTCATGCAAATTAGAAAGTCATACACTGAGGACATACACTCTCCTGAATGTGGTTTGGGTTGGTGATATGTTATAAAAGTTCCTTGGTCTGTCTGAGCCTGGTTTCTCCCAAGGTTTTTTCTCCATTCTGTCACCGATGGAGTTTTGGTTCCTTGCCGCTGTCGCCTCTGGCTTGCTTAGTTGGGGACACTTCATTTCCAGCGATATCGTTGACATGATTGCAAAGATACTATTTAAACTGAACTGAGCTGGATGTTGACATCACTGAGTCAATGATGAACTGTCTTTAGCTGAAAAATGAGTGTTTACGATTGTCATTTTGCATTATTGACACACTATTTTCCTAATTAATGCTGTTCAGTTGCTTTGACACAATTTGTATTGTTAAAAGCGCTATATAAATAAAGGTGACTTGACTTGGACACAATATTACACATGACAGGCTCGTGAAACTCTCAAGTGACACTAAAAATCTTCTAAACATGTTTGAGTAATCAAAGTCACCCAGTATTTGATACACAGAGTTAGTGTTTTACTCATAAATAACTGAAATACGGTCACACTTTATTTGACGCTATTAACAAACCATTAACTGTGACTTTTGCCTCAATAAACTCCTAATTTGCTGCTTGGTTAGTAAGGTAGTTGTTAAGTTTAGGTATTGGGTAGGATTAGGTTTGTAGAATATGGTCATGCAGAATATGTGCTTTATAGCCAATAATAAACATGTTAATAATAGGCGAGACTAGTTACTAGTGAGAATGTATCCCTATACTAAAGTGTTATCGAAATTCTATCAAAATGCCAAGGCTGAATGTCGCAGTGCTGCATCACAGTGCAGTGTTGAATTTCTCTTTTTGACACTTACATTCATTGGTTGAGTCTCATTATTCCTCAAGATCAACACTGCCCTCTGATGGCAGATCTGACACAAATCAATCAGAGACACAGCGCATGAATATCATGAGGAATCAAGTTTTCCTTGAAAATAGACACCTTCACATTTGCCCTTCAGCACCATCACATAAATTGAACTCGGTTTTATTTACACATAGCACATCATATTTGCAGATAGCAAACTGTAGATTATCTTTATATGATGTGCTCCAGTGTAAATGTGCATCTTTAATCAGACAGCAATCAGATCAGTCAAAAGTTTCTGAAGCTTGATTGGTTACACTGCTTAGTTAGGAACCAGCCATTATAACCATAGCAGGAACTAGAGAGTCACTTTAACCAAGATTAGACAATGGCCCAATTCCTGTACTATCACAGTATGCACTGAAATCAGTGAAGAACTTGCATCCTGATCGTTGATGAAGTGCGTCTTGAAGATCTGCAGGGGTTTATACAGTATCAATACACCAGCCATGAAACATAAAGTGAGTTATATACATATAAACAGCATAAATAGACAGCACACATATAAAGGCTATAAAGCAAAACCATTGAACCAGTGTGGTTTCAGTAGTGTAGTGGTTATCACGTTCGCCTCACACGTGTAAGGTCCCCGGTTTGAAGCCGGGCGGAAACATCTGGGGAAGTTGTGGTCTAATGGTAAGAGAGTCGGACTCATAACCCAAAGGTTGTGGGTTCGAGTCTCGTACCGGCAGGGATTGTAGGTGGGGGGAGTGAATGTACAGCCCTCTCTCCCACCTTCAATACCACGACTGAGGTGCCCTTGAGCAAACCCCCAACTGCTCCCCGGGCGCCACGGCATAAATGGCTGCCCACTGCTCCGGGTGTGTGTGTGCACTTAGGATGGGATAAATGCAGAGCACTAATTCCTAGTATGGGTAACCATACTTGGCCACATGTCACGTCACTTGAAGGCTTTAGAAAAAACGAGGTGTTTTCTCCTGAGACAGCTGTTAGACCTGAGGAACAGATCAAAGTGACATTATTTGATCTGAGGTCTAACTGATGTATAAAAAACTAACAGACCAGCCAAAGTAACTAAGTGCATTCATATGCACTAAATGTACATGCATATTAGAGAAAGCACTTATCTATATCAGTCAGTATATTTAGCTGTATTATTTACAGTGTGCTGTAGTTAACATACCTTTCCATGTGTGTGGATCTGATCATCTTCACCCATCCACAGATGAAATGTTGACTGGATGTGTTTAGGTTCAGGTTGCTGTGATCATTAACAGTGAGCATCAAGTCATTCATAATAACAGGTTACTGAAGGGAGGTTATCATACAGTTCTTCCATAATGCCTTTATGAAACACCATGTCTGAAAGTGAAGCGGTGAGAAGTTACTAAATTCATTAATGGAGGATGATGGAGATAGATGTAAGTTCATTACCATTGTGCTCATTTTAATTGTTGTGTTAAATAATGTAGCAGTTTAACCATTTTCTGTGTTATACCAACATTATGCGAAATTTTGAAACTGACATGATTTGGATAGTTAAACTTGGTTCATTTGTCATTTGGCGAAAGTATCTTTTAGAGGGTTCCCAACATTTATAAGTCTGTTTATATCTTTCATTCCGTAACTACGGGTTTAATTCTGGTGTTTTGAAATGTCATGCAAACCAGAAAGCAGACGTTAATTGAATTAATTGCTCTTGAAATAATATTTTCATGTGTGGCGCCCCCGCTAACAGATTTAGCCGAGCACCCACAGACACGCACAAAGATGCGTCATTGGCGGCCTACTGATCGGCCTATGACATCTCGAGATCGACATCTAGCATCGTTCTCGTGGTACTTTGATAACATTTGCCGATCAGTCTGTACAGCGCTCAAAAACGCAAGAAACGCAAAAATGTGCTCGAGCAATAAGTACGGGAGGGCAGCGCTGCATCAGCCGACAGAGCAACTTAAGACTGGGTAAACCAGTTTGTTTCTCCCGCTGAGGCATTTTTTTTCTTGTTTTGTATTAGTATTAGTTGAGCAGACGTGCATTCGTTGGCATGACGTGAGGGATTTTTTCTGTAACTTACTTAGTTCTAGCTTTATATGTGTGGTATTGTAAATCTGTAACAGTATTTAGTGCTTATGTGTGAATATAAAGTTTGAGTTGTTTTGACAATTGACATAGGCATGTGGTAGTTCTTACTGTAATATGCGTGTTGGTATTAAACAGAATCTATAGTAAAACACAAAGTGACCTTATTATATTGAGTCTGTTAGTTTGCTTTTTTCTATGGAGAAGAAGCACCCACTGGCAAAAACATAAACCGACGCCTGTGCCCACACTGGAATGTTGTCAAGCGTTTAGTGACAAATTAAAATCGTATTAGTTTTCTTTTTGAATTTGTATCTTATGTATTTGTATTTTTGTGTGTCATTTTTGTTTGTATAAAATGTCATTCAAGTTTGCTTACCTGTTACAGCTTGGACAGTAAAGGCAAGAACACGATATAGGGACACTAGAAAATATGTAAAACTCAAAGAGCCGTGCTTTTTGGAGTTTGTCACTGAAGGCAAGTCTCTAAATTAAGCTAGACTATACAGTAAATGCACAAAGTACTTTAATGTCTTTATGATTAATGAAAAAAAAATGTAGGATAGTAATGAAGTTATTGTTTTACAGCAAAAAAAGCATTTGCCATTCCAGAACAGACACCTGTTAGGGTAACGGATGACACCTCTACAGAAGTGGACGTGGATGTATTTGCTGAACTTGTTGCTGAAAGGGCCATGTGCTTTAGTTTACATACTAATGATGGTAATTATGTTTATACTTATTTGGTCTTATTTTAAAATTGTGGTGATGTTTACATTTTTGCAAGTGATATTTTTATGTGCTGTATACAGATTCCACTTCTGCACATGAATTGTCCCCCCTTCTGACTGATTGGAAGTCTGTCAGCAGCAAGTCTTCTACCTTTACTGAATGCAATGAAGGCAACAAAACTTCTGCCTGCCCTTCCAAGAGACCCAGGTTGGATGATTCTAAGCTTGCAAAAGAGGTTGGTAAGACAAGGGATGTAACTCAGCTTAAAGAAAATGTTCTCCAGTTTATCAAAAAAATGTTTTACTATGTTGTGATTTTAAATGTATGCTAGAATTTATGGCATTTAAATAATTTTTATATTATTAATCAGTCCTGCAGAAGTTTGGAGGACCATCTCTCAGAGGTGGAGGACAGGCAGCCCTATCTTTCTGGCCACTGGACAAACCAATGTGCTCAAGTTCTACATTGTGGTCGACAAGAATCTCATACCCTGTCAACCAAGTACTTCATTTGGAGCTTTTGATGAGCTTTTTAAAGCTCATTTTGTCTTTGGTGCACAATATGACCCATCTCTCAGCAACATGCTCACCTTTATCCAGACAACAGTCTACAAAATCCATCCTAGCACATCCAGCCAATCATCACGCACTCGAGAGTTAAGAGCAAAACTGTTAAACAGTTACTGAGTTTAAAGGAAAGTACATGATGATAAGATGTTTTATTACTCATTTTTCTGCATAGTTACAAAAACTATAGAAACTCAGTAGAGATTTATAAAGAAATATTTATCATAATGAATGTGTATTTTCATACCGAACAGTATTAAGATGCATTGGAGACTAGCAGAGCTGTTTTATTCTATTGTATGTTTGATATATTAAAATTTCAATAAATGTTGAAATAAATTCATAGTCACTTGGTTTTTGAAAAATATTTACAGTTTTATGTTTTAAATTTAATCTGCATTACCATTTTAAAATAATATTTACAAAATTCACAATAAATCAACATTAAATAAATACACTGGGTGTGTGGGATTAATCACCATAAAGTGTTAAATGTGTATACTTGCGAGTAATAATTTCTCAACACCTTGAGTGATTAAAATGAAACACTAACACAGTGTTTGGATAATAAACACTTTTGTCAGTGTTGTTTTAACACTAGCAAAGATGGACCTGTAAGTTCACCCGAAAAGTGATCATTTTAACACCCATGGTGACAAACCTCCCAACATATTTTTGCTGTGTTTGTTTACTGGCGTGATATGAAGTAATTGAATACTATAAACAGCCTGACCTCAATGTAGGCCTCAAAAAGAACAAGTCTGAAGTTCAGAGGTCATATAACTGGATCACTGCCTCCCTGAGGTCAAAGTTGTTGACCAAGTTGCTCTAATCCATTTTCTATTTTAATATGTCATTTTAATACTTTTGCAACACAAAAGGTACTTTATGCCAATAAAGTTATGTGAAATTGAATTGAAAAGACAGAGCGAGAAAGAGAGAGAGAGAGAGAGAGTGAGGGAGGCCCAGCTATGACAGGAACAATATGGATCCTTACAGGTTCTAACATGCGGGAAATGTGTTGCGTTTGCACTTTTACCGGAGTAAATATTTGTCTGTCTCTGGTCAACGTTCATCTGCCTTCAGCTCTTCAAACAGCAGCACTGCTGAAGATCTGCTTTCAGATCAGAAGAATCCAGCAGAACGGGCCAGAAATCATCAGCACTGACAACACACCCGAAAGCTTCTCAGACCGCTCTGAACGGATTACTAGTGTACTTACCGTAAAAACAGCAACTGTAAAATTATGCAGCATGCAGTGACAGACGCTTCAAACAGCAGTATAGCATACTATAGCATTCATCACATGGCCTCAGTAATGAACAAGATTAGCTTAGAGGCCATTCAAATAAAAACAAACGAAATATGAAGAGTTCAGATTCAAAAGCCTCCAAGTGCCGTCTGAAATTATCTTCTAAAATGAGCATTTTTATCAGCTCCTATGTTTATTTTCAGTTATTTCACTTTAATGGCAATGAAAATGACCTATTCATTGCCATTGCCAAGTGAAATCCAGAGGTGTAAAGTATTGGAGTAAATGTAATTAGTTACTGTACTTGAGTATCTTTTCGAGTACTTTGTAGTTGTACTGAGTATCAAAGATATTAGCAACTTTTACACACTACTTCATTGAATGAGTATCTGTACTCTTTACTCCACTACATTTGAAATGAGTGTTGCAGTTACACATTACATTTTTCATAGACCTAGCTTTTTCTGCAGCAGTTTATTTCTGCTACAAAAAACGTGATGCTGCCCATTACAGGTCACTGAAAGTACTGCATCTTGTGGGTTTTGTCCTTACTCACCCAAACTTGTCAACAAGGCTATGTGAATGCGAGTTCCTTGGCAAGTATTTGTGAATCAGAGGTGTTTTATATATGAGATGAGGACATGACTGCAGCCAGCAATGAGAACCAAACCAGCACATCCACTGCAAGAAGGCTTCGACTTTTTCATTTTACTTAACATTATTTTATTTATCCATTATACTGAAGAGACCTTTTTGAAAGATATTTTGTTTATGTAATTTTGAGGTGTTCAGTTTTATTCTGGTTTTAGAAAATAAACGTGATTGCTCTCCTCACAAATCAACTCTTTCTTGTTTGTGTTTCATGCTGTCTGTGCCTTGCCCTGGACTTTTATGTCACTTCCTGTCTCCCGTGGTGTTTGTAGTCAGTTTGTAGTCCATTTGTTCATTGGTTCCCCTTGATTAGTCTCCCCAGGTGTGTCTTATCTTGTTAAGCTTGTTAAGTATGTTTGAGGAAAAACT